TTTACTCTTGAGCAAAATTCATATTTTTTGACAAACCTCGTATACGGCTTGAAAAATTTGATATCTGATGACTGTATTTTAAGTTTTGGGTCATGCAGGACTTTTTATCAAGAATAACTTTTTTTTTCCTAAAATCAATAATAAAAATGTTTTCCATATGGTTCCAACTTAAGGAGACACACTGTATATTTTAATTTTCAAACCTTTAAATAATAATTTGAATAATTTTTAAGTACTTAAAAGGCTACAACAATTTTTTTATAAGTATGTGGTACTTGGTGCTTAATTTTTTACTGTACTTGGTAATTGAAACACTTTTAAAAATAAAAATATTTGGTAATTATTACATTAAAAAAAGTGCTTCGTTCTTGGTAATTGAAGCACTTTGCAAATGTGCTTTATCACAACAAGCAATTAATGATTTTGTCGTCATTTTGCCTTTTCCCTTTTCAACGAAAATTTCTAGAGTAGAAAACCTATTTCCATTCATCTCAAATATTGATATATCCACAAAAGAGTTGTTTGTTATTATTAGACATGTATATGTCGTACGATCGATGTGAATCGCATATGTTACGTGATTTGCAACATCGCCCAGATTTCTAGGGCATTATTTGGCATTGCGACGACAATAGCATAATACCAGGGGCGGTTTGTTTGCCGTCCCATCGGTAATGATTCAATTTGATGTCTGGGTTTGTGGTGTGATCTGTTCAGTTGTTGTTAGTCTTTTCACTCGGCACAGCTGCTGTTTGTCTACAACTCTACAAGAGTTGGTTAGTGCATTGATTTTATTTCGATGTATATTCATTTTTAACGGTTATTATAATTTTTATTTCAAAACTGTTCGAATCAATTACCTTTGTATCTAGAATTAGGAATTTTTAAATGTTTTTGAAAAGAATTTTATTTAAATCACGTAAAAAATGGAATTCCTACCAATCGAAACCCAATTTCTATCACTATCTTTTTTCAGTATATACTCACCACCAAAATGGAAAATTTAAAAAAATGAAGATAGAAAAATGGAAAATTTAAAAAAATGAAAAAAAAATAGAAAAATGAAAGATAAATGATTAAATAATAAATAATTAAGGAATAAATAATAAAAAATGGAAAAATAGAAAAATGATATTCATAAACAAAATAGAAAAAAGGAAAAATAGAAAAATCAAAAATAAAAAAATGGAAAAATAAAAAAATAAAAATAGAAAATTATAAAAATGATATATTTGATATAAAAAATTGATTTACTATTTTGTATAAGATCCTCTATATTCAATAGTCCTACTTCTATGGCGTTTGGATTATTTTCTACTATTTTGTTTATTTTTTCTTCAATTTGAATTTTTTTATCTATTATTTCAAATTCTTTAGAAAAGGTTCTTAGTTTACAGGTATATTGACGTTCTCTTAAGATAGGTCCTTATTGCTTGTCTGGCAACAGACTGGTTTTGGCCTGTAGTACCCAAATAAGTATCACATTATTCATTTGCTTCAGAACGTTTTGGCTATTTTAATTTTGATAAATGGCAACTTGTTTCAATAAAGCTGCTATTTTTAAATTAGTGTATGTACTTTGTCTATCTAAGGGTATACAGGATGGCCACTTTTTCATTGAAATGTATTGCTATCTCGTAAACCGTTGGTAACACAAAGTTGGTTAAATGGGGAAAAAGTTGCATATTTCGAAGTCCAATCTGAGGGCGTTTTGAAAACTAAAATATCAGGTCCGGTTTCCGAGATATTCGATAAAAACAAATAAGTACCATTTCTTTATTCCGCTACAGAACGTTTATTTGCAAAAATAGACAAAAACTCATTTGGAGTTTTTTTGTTTTATATCAAATTGTGCTTATGATAGCGTATTTAGTTTTTTTATCTGACGTTTCGTAAATGCAGGACCACCATCAACTTCTTTATTTGAATATGGACCAATATTTTCCTGGCTCATAATTTTAATGCATGTTCAATGTTGAATACAATGATGTAATAACATATTGTGATTAGTCAACATTTCGGAAGATTTGAACATCATCAGGTAAGTTTACAAGTACGGACCTGTGTTTTGTTAGTTAAAAATATTTGAATTAGTAAATGATGTATTATCAGTGTAAGAAATCAGGTACGTTTACTTGTACAGACCTGTATTATAAATTATTTGAAATACACAACTACATTTTAAATGCTTAAAATAATTTAATAAAAAAAATATGTATTTAACTACTTAATCACGTCAGAAACAAATAAATGAAAACAATGATTAACGATAAGAGAAAAACTACAGTAGTTGCTCAAAATGTCCTCCTTCTTCTTGAATACATAAGTCAATACGGTCTGTCATTTGAGCTATGCTGGCAGAAACCATTTGTGGAGTGATATTATTAAACGCATTAATTATCCTATCTCGTAATTAATTTAAGTCATTTGGAATACCATCATAATATACTTTATTTTTGATATATCCCCATACAAAATAATCCATAGGATTTAAGCAGGGTGACCTAGGGGGCCATCGAATAGATCCATGTGTACCAAACCACCTCCTGGGAAATCTTTCGTTTAAATAATTTCTGATTAATGCAGCTTATGTGGCCCACAGCCATCTTGCATAAAATAAATATTTCTTCGATCGCCTAAAGGAAGATTATCTAACATATCTTCTAGCAATTGTAAATAGTTGTGTTGGTTGAGGTTTCCGTCAATAAAAATAGGACCAATTATTTTATTATTGAGTATTCCACACCATAAGTTTATTGAAAATCTAATTTGGGGTCTTATTTCTTGAATTAAATGTGGGTTGTCGGTGGCATAAAAATGTTTATTTTTTCTATTAAATATTCCACTATTAGTAAATGTCGATTCATCTGTCCATAAAATTCGTCCATGAAAGGATACATCATTATTTAATTTTCGTTTATACCAACGGCAAAATTCTATTCTACGATTATAATCTCCAGGATGTAGCTTTTGTACAGTTTGGAATTTGTAATCATGGTACTTATGTTTTTTAAGAATGTTTTTCACAGTACTTGCAGAAACTCCACATTCTCGGCTTATTGCTCTAGACGACGTTTCAGGGTTGATATAAACTTGAGACAAACATTTATTTCATTTATTGTATTACGTTTTAAATATTTACCACGTTTTTTTTTCAATATTTTCTTCGTGAGCCATATTTAACGCTATCCTATAATAAATTAATAAAGATGGTTGCCTCCTTCCTGGATACAACTGAAGGTATCTTTCTGCAGCTTCTCCACTATTTCTGTTACATTTTATGTACACATCGTACATATCTTTTTTCTCACTTCTACTGTAACGAACCATATTTTCAATACCCTAATTAAAAATATACCAATGCTTTTATCCGATACCAGACTGTCAAATATACAATAATAAAATGTGACATGCCAGGTTAACTTGATTTAAATTTATCTGTATAATAATCAAGACGTGTTGCTAGATATACAATTATTATTGTAAGTAGGTATCTATCTGCAGTTTGTTAACTTTTTCTTTTTTATACTATGAGGAACCATATCAGTTTCTAAAATCCAACAAAATATGACAAATCAGGCTAACTTTATGTATTTAAAAATCGGGATGTACTTTATTTATAGATTAATATTGGGATTGGTCAAGTGCAAAAACCATAAAAATGGAAAATATTTTTTAGCAAATGTGTAAACGAACATGTTGTCTTGATGTAAAGTTAAAAGTTTGACTTTGGTATTTATTATTTATAATCTCTTACAACGATAATACATCATTTACTAATTCAAATATTTTTAACTAACAAAACACAGGTCCGTACTTGTAAACTTACCTGATGATGTTCAAATCTTCCGAAATGTTGACTAATCACAATATGTTATTACATCATTGTATTCAACATTGAACATGCATTAAAATTATGAGCCAGGAAAATATTGGTCCATATTCAAATAAAGAAGTTGATGGTGGTCCTGCATTTACGAAACGTCGGATAAAAAAACTAAATACGCTATCATACGCACAATTTGATATAAAACAAAAAACTCCAAATGAGTTTTTGTCTATTTTTGCAAATAAACGTTCTGTAGCGGAATAAAGAAATGGTACTTATTTGTTTTTTATCGAATATCTCGGAAACCGGACCTGATATTTTAGTTTTCAAAACGCCCTCAGATTGGACTTCGAAATATGCAATACATTTCAATGAAAAAGTGGCCACCCTGTATACCGGGTCATTCTATATGGGCGGAACACTTGATTTATGGCTTAACTGTGACTTGTACGAAAATTTGACTTAGGTAAAAGTTTTTGTACTATTTATGTAATATTTATTGATGTTTACAGATTTCCCGCATACGTAATGATTTTCAAGATATGACGTCATCGGGCAATATTTTAAATGGATCACCCTGTATTTATATTTTTTTTCGAGTTCGTATGATCTGTCTGATTTCATCAATGGTACATTATGTGGATCCCAGACTTATTTAAAATATTGCCCGATGACGTCATATGTTGAAAAACATTACGTATGAGGGAAATCTGTATACTCTCAATAAATAGTACATAAAATGTACAAAAACTTTTATCCAAGTCAAATTATTGTACAAGTCATAGTTAAGCCATAAATCAAGTGTTCTGCCCATATAGAATGACCCGTTCCGTCCATATAGAATGACCCGTTCCGTCCATATAGAATGACCCTGTATACACCTTGAGTTATTTTGGATTCATCAAATGTTTGAGGTTCAGTTAAGATGTAAACAAAAAAATTAATATAATTGCACTATATTGGAAAATGAATTTGAAGATTTTACCCGCATAGACATAGATATTTGTTAAATGTCAACATCAAACTTATGTAACTCAACATTTAATTGGGAACTTTACTTGCAATTTCTTCATAACAATTTTTAGAAGATTTTCCTTTTTGTATATTTAATAACATTGCTATGATGTTACAGTATTAAAAAATTTAAGGCTAATATAGAAGATAAACTTACTTGCACCCTGGATTCGGGCAGGTTGATTTTTAAGGCTACTTCCTCCCTCATGAAGATGTCTGGATACCTAGTTTTCGCAAACAGAGATTCCAAAACATCGAGCTGCGCCCTCGTGAAGGTCGTTCTTTCTCGCCTTTGCTTCCTTGGGTTCACACCTGCAAAATAGGAATAAACTGGAAATTATGCTATAGCCAGTACATTTTTTAACTAAAAATATATATTTAAATGTAAAAAAGAAAACTGCAGTGAATGTAAATTGGCTGATAGAATGATGTTTGAAAAAAATACATTTTTTAGAAATTGCTAAGTAAATAATCGCGATCATTTTTTAAAAAATTAAAATTCTGGACCTTAATTGAATCATTTATTTCAGAAACAATCTAAATCGCTTCTTGAGAATTTTCAGGATCTGGAAAAAACGTTTTGGAACTACTTAGATTAAAGTTGTTATGGATGTTTGCGGCACTTAAGTTTTTTCTGCATTAAACGTGTGTTACTCTAAAACTACAATGTTAATATGGACAAAAAGTGACTTAGGTTGTTTCTGTTTCTCTAATAAACGATTAAAGTAATAAATAAATAATTCTTAGTCACCAATTCTAGCTGAAAATTGTATTTATTGGAAAGTAATCACAATTTGTTTCCAATTTTTAGGTAAAAGCAAATGCTTGTTATTTTCACTATTATACATTCTTTAGAATTTTGTAAAATCGATTTCAAAAATAATCATTATATTTCTTCCCAATTGAAAAAAACACCATAAACATTGAAGTGTTTGAAATGTTATATTTAAGTTTAAATAGAAGGGAAGGTTTATAAACAAAGAAACAAAGTGTTTGATTGTTTTAGTTTCCACATGATATTTCACACGATAGAAATAAGTTGGTTACCGTACTGTGTACTTGAAATACAATAATATTTTTATCTTGGAATTATTAGAATAAATATTAAAATTGGTAGGATACAATGAAAATTCTATATTACAAGAAAATAAAAGCCTTTATTGTAATCGCGCACAAGGTTCCAATCAGTGGCGTATCCAGAATGTAAATCTGGGGGTAGTGGTAATATTTAGGACTTTATTTTTGTTTTAATACGTGTCTTGGGAGGTAATTACGCTTTTACTGTTTTTATTGGTTTATTTTAATAGTTTGGTGCTGTTTTGTAGAAAATCGGTCAATCTGCAAAAAACTATACTAAGAAAAATTAATTATATAGAATATTTTTAACGTTGTTCAACACTGGGCTACATATATCCCAACAGAATGTATAATTTTCCATTATGTCTAGATTGTTTTATTTCAGATCACACATCTGCTGGGACATCAAAGCCCATGATTTGTTTTACAAAAAAGACGATTCTGCTCTTAATAATCTTGTTTTTTTAGGGATTATCATGTGGTGGTGAGTCATTTTTTTATAGTAGTTTTCTAAAACTCATGTAAGTAGTTTTTGATATTCGGCTAATCATGCGAGAGAGAGAGTTTGCTTGAAAAAACATTCAGATCTAGTCAAATCAATGCTTTGAAATTTTTTTAATTAGTATCAAGGTGATAGCGCACATGCGATGGTAATATTTCTATTTAACCTCTTAAAATTCTGATTTCATAACAAATTAGATATAAAAAAAATTGCAGACATTGAAGAACTAAAAAATAATGAAAAAGATCATAAATACTTTTGTATATTAAAAAGTTAACGATTTTTCTCGAATATTCTCGTTCATACGAATCTAGATTATGTGACATAGTGTATATGTATAAATAAAACTCGATGCACGTAAGCATTATCAGCGTGCCGAGCCTCCTCCTGCCGGGGAACGAAACTCGGGAGTTCGAGAGTTGTGTTCGGGATCCTGAGCCGATTACCGGGGTGGTAGGTGGCCGTTGCCATGGCAACTCTTTCTGGGATAGAGTCTCAACCGAACGAGCGCTGCAAATTCGAATACGGTCTTTTTGAATTTTTGAAGGGTACGGAGTTTGGAAGTTAGAATGTCAACCGTTCCAAAGAGAGGTAATTATTTCTGGATTTGTTTGGATAAATATTTGTTTAATTTAAGTTTAACTTTATTTTATAAAAAAAAAATGTAAAGGCTCTTGCGATCATGTATTAACAGCAATCTAACTTAAGCATCTTATCATCCAAAATTAATTAAAACCTTAACATATTTAAAACATCTATAAAGTTTTCTTGAATCAAGGCAAATAAATATAATTTGTGTTTCATTCAAGACAGTCATTCTTGGAAAAACAAATTCTTGTTGTTTTCCACAATGATTTCTGATTCTGAAATATTTCTAAGATCATAAACGTTAGATAACAAGAATTAGCAGCTGAGCTTATAGCTTTGCTTTCGATTCAGAACAGTACACCAAGACCATCTTCCTTCAATGGATGTCCCACAAGTTGAAAAATAATCAGAATTTTAGAGTAATGTAATGAATAATCTTTATTTTGTATGTTACTTGATTATATCAACATACTGAAAAACTACACACAACACTTATATGATTATTATATAAGGTAGAAAGAATGTTTTCTAATAAAATATTACTTGATAACCACTGTATAATGTGTGTTTAATAATATATTACAAAATGGATATAAATATTTTAGATGAATTGGAACAGAGATCCATTGTTACAGCTACTTTTGTTCACTAAGTAGGTAGATGAATGTCTCGACAGCTTTAATGGCAGCAAAAGTTCCCACCTACTAGTGAAAAGAAGTAAAATGTATGCTGAGTAGAAAATCTCTGCACATGTAGTATTGGCAAAGGACTTTTGAAATGATTAGAGATTGGCTATTTCTTACATACACCACCTACCTCTATAGTCTATTTGTATGTATGAGAGAGTAATAAAACAGCATTTCTAATGCAAAACTTAGTACGGTCATTTTAAATATTTTTACAGACTAATCTAAATATTTCCTAAAATTGTAATAAATGTACCTGAGCTATTACAAGTTTTGGGTCTTTTATTGGTCCTTTATAAACATAAGCTGTACAGAACAATAGAAAAAGGTTTGGACAGGCCAAAAGCCCTGTGTATTAAAGATTACATAGCCGTATCTTAAGATTATTTTCAATAAGTACCTATTTGCCAATTTTGTTTTATTTTAATTCCAAGAATTTCTTACAGTAATCGAATTATAAGTGGATAAATGCCTTTCCAACAAATTTCACCGAACATGCGATTATAGGTTTTCCATTTAGTAAGGAGGTCCAAGTTGTGTATTCTTGACAGTTTACTAAATGTAGTTTAGTTGCAACTTGCAGTGTGAATTAATTCTAGTGTGATCATGGAAAATTTGGAAGGGCCGCGTAAACAACAAATAATCGGTCCTTTAACAATTAATGAAAAAAACATTATTTAATTGTTTTAAATCATTTACAGACAAACATTTATGTAAAAGTGTTGATGACACAGTGGAATTAGTTAGTAGTACGCTTGGTGTTGGGAAATCTACGATTTACAGAGTTGTTAAAGAAGAGAAATGTGGCGAGTTTCAAACAGCACGTAAAGCTCCAGGAAAACCAAAATTTCAATTAAAAAATCTTTTGAAAGAAAGACTTCGAAGGAAAGTACATGTGTTCTTCTTTAGAAAAGAATTTCCTACAGTAGACAAAGTTCTTGCCACGGTTCGAGATGATAAGGATTACCCTGAAATGAGTCGAAGCACACTATGGAAACTTTTAAAAGAAATAGGTTTTCTATGGAAAAAGCATTCCAGAAAGTCTATTTTAATAGAAAGAAGCGATATTGTAGTATGGAGAAGAAATTACCTAAGGACTATAAAAGAAATGAGAAACCAAAGAAGATATATATTTTATTTAGATGAAACATGGATCAACGAGGGACATAAATCAAATAAATTTTGGCAAGATGAAACTGTTACAAGTCGAAGACAGGCTTTTTTAAATAATGTATCTACTGGTTTAAATCCACTATCAGGAAAGGGGCGCAGTCTAATAATAGTACACATCGATAGTTCAAACGGTTTTGTTAAAGGTGGTTTATTGACTTTTGAATCTACTCGTACCGGTGACTACCATGAGGACATGAATGCTGATGTCTTTAAAGAGTGGTTCGAACAAATTATAGATCTTCTTCCTCAGAACTGTATAATAGTAATGGATAATGCAAGTTATCACTCGAGACTTATAGAAAAAATGCCCACAACCAAGTGGTTAAAAAAAGATTTACAGAATTGGCTAAATTCAAAGAATATTAAGTTCCATCCCGGTTCCGTGAGAAAAGAACTGTATCATTTGTGTTCCCTTCATAAAGAGAAATTCAAAAAATATGAAATTGATGAAATTGCAAAAAATCGTGGGATGACGGTGGTTAGATCACCACCATATCATTGCGAAGTAAACCCGATTGAACTGATATGGACACAGATAAAGGGAGAAGTTTCAAGAAAAAATAATTCTTTTAAAATGAGTGATGTTAAACAGTTGTTTTTGGAGGCTGTAAATAATGTGAAGCCTGAAAACTGGGAAAAGGCAGTAAATCATACGATTAAAGAAGAAGAGAAAATGTGGAAGTTGGACAATATATTACTGATGAAATGATCGAGCCACTCATTGTAAATATTGGTTGCGACAGTTCATCTTCTGATTTCGATTCTGATTTGGATTTGTAGGTAAGAAGTAGTTTTTATATTAAAATTATTATTTATGAACGTAACGTTGTTTAAAAGTCAAAGTTTAAACCCTTATACCTACATAACCCGTTTGACACAATGTTCTTAACATACCTTGTGGAAAAATAAAACATTTTAGAAAAAATTGCACTTTTTTCAGCTGTTTAGAAGTTATAAGCAGGTTAATTAGGTGAAAATATAAGTGTATACTCGAGGAATAACTTTAAAAAAATATTTTCACTGTCTACTAAAAGAAGTGATACGCCTATGGATTACGAACGCTTTATTATTTTAATACTCTCTCATACATAAAAATAGACTATAATAGTGGCTGGGTTGTCTCTGGTAACAGTTAATAATATTGCCAAATTTTACCTAGCAACCGAGATTATACGAACTCATCATCAATTTCCCAGCAGTTCAAATCCAATCGAAATCCCGCAGGAAAACTTTTCGGATTTGGGAAACTACATTTAAATTTAAATCAGCACAAACCGAACGACAAGATAAAATAATGAAACCAC